CTGTCTCACAAAAAGAGCAGGAGCTGGGCTGCACGGTCCCAGGCCTCTCCCCACAGAAGTGGCCAGGCCCCAACCAGAACGGTATGGCTGTCACTCAGCCACAACACAGGAGGCTTTATAGTCCCAAACGCGGCTTTTCCACGCAAGGCCCGGAGACATAGCTGCACATGCTCAGTCATGTGGCCTTGAGTGTACAACACTAATTAGGCCTGAAATTTCTTATTGTTGCCTTTGTTCGTGTGAACCGAGCTTGGGTGGCAGGAGTACAAATGTCCCCAAATGGTCGCCCTGTCAGCCTGTGACTTCGACGCGGCTCAGAATCCCACACTGTATTGTCCTGGGATGTGAGGTGGGATGTATTTGGAGGTCTGTGCCATGAAGGGGAAAATACACACTCACGGGGAAGGCCCACGCCCTTCTTCTTTCAAAATGGCAGTCCCCGACTGTCAACAGATATTACTTATCTAAGAAATTTCTGGCAACTGGCTGCGGAAACATAAGAGTTTGTCCTTAAAAAAAAAAAAAAAAAAATCAAAGGAGTAAAAAAATAAACCGGTAACACTTCCCATCTAGTTTCAAAGACAACACACCCATTAAGGCAGGGAGAGGGGAGTGCGCGCAGGAACCAAGTGGTCCCGGTGGGTCTGCAACGATCAGGTGGGAGCTCGGTCAGCCTTGGGGCACGGGGGGTGCTGTGCTGTGGGCTGGGTAGGGGGTGGGGGGGAGGGGGGTCTGGGAAAGCCAGAAGAGCAGGGACCCTCCCGGGAGGTCCCCGAACGCGCCAGGGCGCAGGCACCGAGCGCGGGCCACGTGTAGGAGGTGGTGCACGTCAACCGGCAGAGATGGAAGGAAAGATGGAGCAGAGGAGACAGACTGGGGAAGTTAGGGGTGGTCCCGGCATGGGGGGGAGGCGGTGGGGGGGAGCCAGACGGAAGGCTTGAATTCCAGCTCCTCCACTTCCTTGAGGCCTGGCCTCAGGCAAGTCAGTTCCTTTTCTTTCTCTGCTTTTTGTCTTCCTCCTCCTTCCCCCCGCCCCGCCCCAAATTTTGGCTTCATTCTTTTTAACGTTTCATTATGAAAACTTTCGAGCATGCACACAAGCAGAAAACGGCAGCGCGGCCCACGTTCCGTCCTCCCCTTCTTCCGCACCTGGCCCGCGCTGTCCCACCGGCGCGCTCCTCACGCCTGCGCTCCCTCCGCACCTCGATTAAGCAAGGCGTCCCTGCAGGCGGGAGAGGCAGAGAGGGGCGCCCGTGAGGGCCCACGTGAGAGCGGCATGTCCCTTAGACTCAAGACACTGAGGTCCCAGCCTCAGTCTCATCCTTAAAGGGCCGGCGCCCGCCCTCCCCGGGCCACGCCCCTCCCCACGGGGGGAGGCGTCCCGAGGAAAGGCCCCCACCTGGAGCCTGTGCCCCCTCAACAGGCACCGGTACCCGGAGGCGGCTCCAGGCCGCTCCGGGCGCGCTCGAAGCCCTGCGGTGCCCGGCGGGGTGTGCACGGCGCGCACAGCGGCTGCTGGAGAGGTGGCCGTGGGCCGAGCCACGACCTGGGACCGAGTCCGCACCCACGGGTGTGGGGCCCTCCAGAAGTACTTAGTGGGAGAGTAGGGGTGCGAAAACAGCGCCCCCCTTGTTCCTGCCGACCAGGACCTTCCCTGGGGCCCCTGTCCTGCCTCACAGCCCACAAATCTCTTTAAATGCCTGAAAGTAAGGGAATCGACAGTGTTTCTTCGTATTCTCGCGAGCAGATTATGTCAGCTCACAGGGCAGGCGAGGGCCCGCGAGCCGCGTCGGGTTGCCCGGGAGAAGGGATACCGGGTACAGGAAACACGACGTTGCCCGCGGCGGTCAGCGGAGCAGGGCGCGCGGAACCACCAGGCCAAAGCAGAGCTTCCGCCGCCCCAGCGTTAAAGGGAGTCCCTTCCTCGGCTCCCCACCCTCCCGCGGGACACTCCTGAAAAATAACACCCCCGTTGTAGGAAGCTTTCGCCCTTGTCTGAGACAAGGGGACGCGCTTCTGACCTTGGGAATCTCCCCACCGCGTTCAAGCAGAAGCCCCGTGTGGGCGCCTCTGCACAAAACCGAATTCTTCGCACAAAGAGGGAATGCCCTCACAGCCTAGACCTCAGCCACGCACGTGCGAGCCGGTGGAGGAGGCACAGTGGGGCAGCCCACGGCTGCCGTTAGGGTTTTGTATTCCTGAGTGGATAACACCTGGTTTCTTTCGGATCGGAACACAATCTCCATTAACGTAACTCCAACAACAGTCCAAGCTGGTGACCTAGAAAGGCACTTTCAGGCACATCCTCGCTGCTTGGAAATTAAAAGTGAATCAGTCCTTCCACGGTAATTACCAGGACACAGAACCTCAGGTGGGCCTTCCGCGCGGCACTGAGCCAGCGGGACACGGCTCTCGGCCTTGGCCAGGAGCCTTGCGGGATGTCAGGTGCAGGAAAAGCTGTTTCTCTGTGTGGGAAATACTGATGGAGACATTGGGAGAAATCGTTTGCAGCATCCACGGGGAGAAACAAGGAGAAAGGCCTAATTAAAAGAAGGCCTTTTTAAAGAATTGAACTTATTGGGGTGACACTGGTTAATAACATTATCTAGGTTTCAGGGGTACAATTCTATGCTACGCCATCAGCATATTGTATGGTGTGTTCACCACCCAAAGGCATCTCCTTCCATCACCGTTTATCTCTCCTTTACCCTCTTCTACCCCCTCTTCCCTCTCTCCTCTTTGTAGTCTCTGTTTAATCCCTTCGCCCACCTCACCCAGCCCCGCCCCCACCCCACCCTGCCAGCTGTCAGCCTGTTCTCTGTATCCAGGGGTCTGTCTCCGCTTTGGAAAAGGGTCCCCAGCCCCCCCACGAGGACAGTCCTCAGCTCTGCAGTTGTCGCAACCTCCTCCCCAAGGGACGTACGCACACAGCAAGGAAATTATACCTTTCTTTGAAATGCTGGTATCTGCACCCTGTTTCATTATGGAAGTGGAAATAATTTTAGAAACCAAAAATAAAATTAAATAAAGTCAGGACAAAGAATGTGCCTTGACCCCTGGTGCTTCGGAAGACGGTGTCACCCGTGTTGGTGACCAGGAGGGATGCGAGAAGACCAGAGACAGAAGACAACGCAGAGGAATAGTTGTCTCCACTTTAATTATCTGAATCAAGGAAAATGGGAACAGATGAAACCTTAGTAAGAGAGAAATGGTACATGCACTAAGGGAGATAGATCAATAAAACAACTGCTGACCTATTGTTGGTGATGAACATCCTTGCTGGGCTTTGTTTTACTACAGACACATCAAAGTTTCCTGCAACTCCCATAATTGTTCAAATGCACGCACGTCCTCAGTCTCCCGCCTTACAATGACCAGGAGGGAGACAAAGCAATCACCCAGGTGACAGAGGCGACTCAGCCCCGGTCAGACGGCTGACACATGTCTATTGTAAATTTCTTCCCGTTTCCATGTGATAAAGTGATTTTACACGATTGTGCATGTCCAAACTTTCTAAGTAAACTTAGTAAACCAGAGATGAAGATGACAAGCCTCAAATCATACATGTTAGAACGGGTTCCCATTTGAACCGCCTGTCGCTCATAGCTGTGTTTGTCACACCTCCGGTCACAGACACGATAGCAATGTTAATGCCATGGTCGTATACACAGCTGCATGAGAAGCAGTGCTGCCTCCTAATGGGTGGCTTTACCAAAACCCAAAGCGGGCACAGGTGGCTTTGCACACCACGCTATTGATCCATCTTGACTGCGGTTCCATTTGCAAGAGAAAGTCCCAGCTGGGCATTTTCTCATAAATTGGGTCAAGAGGAGAAGAATTCTGGGTAGCCAGAGGTGTCTCTGTGTCTCTTTTCAAATAATCAAAGGCTCCTTCTCCTGGCGTCCAGAAGAAGTAAAATGTCCTTGTCTCGGGGGTATTGCTTTAGTAGGCCACATGCCAGTAAGTTCTAGCATCTAGGAGCATGCAACAGCGGCTGGCATGAGCTACGCAGTCACGGTAGTATCAGGGTTTAATTAGGTCGTGTGCACTGAGATCTTTTTCATAGTAAAGAGAAAACAGAAGAACTGGCTTCCCCCCACAGCCATTACAGTAAAGAGTTCAAAGCTGCAATCACCCCGCTAGGGCAAGTCAGTGGACTGCGGAAGGAGCGGGCTGCAGCGCGCAAGCATGCTCACAGGACACGCGGACCCGTTCCTGAAACTCAGAAGCCTCCTGCGTCCTCAGAATCCCACGCTGGCTCAGAGCACCCAGCATCAGCACGACGGCAACGTGCCGCTCTAACACTCAACGCCACTGAAAGGGTAGTAAGGACTGGAAAATAGTATATCTGGTTTTTTTCTCACTGGCTAAGATTCTATCTCGTTCGGGAATGATTTTGCTTCATTTAAAAAACAAACAAACACACAAAAAACCCTTTTAAGAATAAAGGGCTGAGGTCTTTGTGGCCGTTCCTACGGGGCACACACCTCCGATTCCATTCTCCAGGGGAATGTACAAAGATAAATGACAGCAGAAGCACCCTGGAAGATGGGGTGCTTTCTGAAACACATGTGAAATATTCGTCCTTCTATCCAATGTATTACTGTCCTGCGCCTCCTGCAGATTCAGGGCGCTCCATACACATCATGAGACAATGAAGGTGGTAATGCGTTATCCCAGTTCTTTTTCCCAAATGGTTGAAATACATGAATTGGTCCTTTTCAAAAGTCAGTTTGCACGTTCTCTCAGTCTCTCTCCGGTGTTTTGACTTTAGGGTGTCTCTAGATCACAGAAACGAGGGGTAAAAATCAGGCAGCCGCCCCAAATGGCTTCGGGGTCCCCGTTCAGGGCAAGACCCTGGCTCCCGGGAGTGGGAGGCGAGCTCTTCGCACCAGTTTCCTGGGCGTCACGCAGGAGCCTTGGGCAGGGGGCCCTTTCCGAGGGCGGGAGGCGACGGGGAAGCCGGGACGCTGGGAGCCTAGACTCTCCGCCTCCCCGGGTCACCAGTGCTGGCCGGCGGCGCGGGTGCCCAGCGGCGCCTGGGACACGGCGGGCGCGGCGGGCGCGTCCCCCACGCCGGGCAGGACGGAGCGCACGGAGCGGCGGAACTCCTCGTTCCTCCACGTGTAGAGCAGCGGGTTGAGCGCGGACAGAGCGCAGCACAGGAGCCAGCTGGCCGCCTGCACTCCCCAGGGCACGGGCAGCGCGAGACCGCTGGCCAGGCTGACCCACACGAGCGGCTGCGTGGCCAGCAGGAAGACGCAGCACAGCAGCAGCACCGACAGGCCGCTGAGCCGTCGCTGCGCGCGGCGGGGCTGCAGCGGGGCCGGCAGGGGAGGCGGGGGCGCGGAGAGCGCGGGCAGCGCAGGGGCGCCAGGGCCCGGCGCGCGCGGGGCGGCGGGGAGCGCGGCGGCGGCGGCCGCGCAGCCGGGCAGCTGGTGCAGCAGGTGGAAGTTGAGCACGCTGACCCGCTTGACGCTGACGCGCACGCGGCGCACGATGCCCAGGTAGCAGTGCAGCAGCAGCGCCGTCTGCGCCAGCAGCGCGGCGGCCGCCAGCAGCGCGGGGTAGTGCACGCCCGGGGCCTCGGGGCCGGGGCGCGGCGCCCACGGCGGCAGCGCCAGCACGAGGCCCAGCGCAAGCGCCCAGGACAGCGCCAGCATGCCCGCCGTGTGGCGCCGCTGGTACAGCGCCTGGTAGGTGGCGGGCGCCCGGGTGATGAGCAGGTAGCGGTTCAGCGCCACGAGGCAGTGCGACAGCAGGGACACCGTGAGTCCCAGGCCCAGCAGCGCGCCCCGCAGCAGGCGGTAGCTGCCCCCCGCGCCGTCCCAGCCGCCGGGGGGCCCGGCCGCGCCGGCGGGCAGCAGCCCCAGCACCGCCTCCTGCGGCATCCAGAGGGCGCAGACGCTGAGGTCGGCAGCGCACCCGTTGACGATGAAGGCGTTGCTGGTGGTCTGCAGCTTGCGGAAGGACGACACGAGGTAGATGACCATGCCGTTGGCCAGCGTGCCCCCAATGGCCAGGCCGGAGTACAGGAGGGACACGGGGATGCGCCGGCCCGCCCACGACCCCTCTTCCTCGCAGAGCAGCAGCAGGGACCCTCCGGCTGTGGAGGACGCGGACTCGGAGGAGGAGTTGGTCATTCTGGCCGGCGCTTCACACCTCGCGGGCTAGCGCGGCGCCCGGCTGCAGGGAGGGCAAAGGCAGCCTTCAGCCTCCTGCCAGCGGCACAAAAGGCTGCAACAGGAACCTGGGCTGGGGGAGGGGGAGAGGCAGCCCGAGGAGACGGGGGCGGCAGATGACAGGTGCGTGCCTGGGGCGTGTCTCCGCGCCGGGGAAGGGCCTCTGCGCTGGGCCGGCGCCCGCGGGGGCCGTGCGCGGGCGCAACGCCAGGAACAGCCTCCCCCTGCCCCACGGGTCCACACTCACACACTCACCGTCACACTCGCACACGCACGCAGGGGACACTGCCAGGTGGAGCCCCTACTTTCCAGGAGGAAGCAGAGGTGTCCCAGCTGGGGAAAATGCCAGGGGAAAGGAGCTGGGGGTTACCTTACTTTGGGACTGGTCCTTAGCCGGCGGTGGCAGAGGGAGGGACGCCAGGAAATGCCTCCTCGTTAGCAGCATCTGTGGTCCCCAGATCAGCAGGACAAACTCAGCGGGGATCGGCGCCCAGAGAGAGTGCCCGCTCCTCCCAGGCAGCATCCACGCGCATGGTCCCAGGGCAGAAACCAGCAGCGGGCGGCGGCGTGGAGCCCGCTGAGCGGGCAGGGCCGCGGCAGGCTGTGAGCCCAGCCGGTGGGCAGGAGGCAGCGGGCGCAGGGGTGCCTGTCTGCAAAGCAGTAGCTGAGCTCCGCAGCGGAGCACCCACTCTGTGCTCGGAAGCAAGAGGGGTGGCTGACGAGCGAACCCACTCGAAGCTCTCTCCTGCTCAGTTACCCATTACCCAGGGAGAAGGCAGCCTTTCCAGGCGCGGAATGAATTATTCAACAGCTTCTAACTTGTGAGAGGAAGAAAAATATCTTGCTCCGAAAGTCCTGTAATTAACAAGTTTCTCCGCCTTGTCTTTTCTCTCTCTCTCTCTCTCTCTCTCAATCACCTTATTTTTCACCCCGCTTCATTTGTCTCTGCTTCCCCCTCCCCGCCCCCGAGCTGTCGATGCTAGAATAAAATGCAGTGTTCCCCCTCCTCCCAGTGTGCTGCATTCTGGGACCAAGAATTTCCCGGGGGGGTGGGATACTCCCAGGGCCCAGGACCCACCTCCTCCATCCCTCACCTTCCGAGAGAATGACTCTATCCTAACCAACTGACATGTATTTTGTCTGCGGTGCGGTGGGACACGGGTGATTATCCACAGAAAATCCTCTATCCGTTTAAATCACCATTTCATTTTCTTTCTAATCAGCAGCTCCTTTCAGAGTTTGGCTGGGGTTTCAGCCATGACCTGGTCAGAGGGTGGAAACACCGTCCGAAGGTGGGAAACGGAGTCGGGTGGGGCGGCGGCCAGGAGCCCGAGCAGACGCGGCGCACGCGCAGCAGCGCCCCTCGGCACCGCGCGCGGGTGCCCCGTCCCGCAGGTTCGCGGTCTGGCGGTGGCTCTGGCACAAGCACCGGCATCCGACGATAGGCCATCCCGAGTGGGAAACGTTGCATATCAGTCACCCCCCCCCACACACACACACACCCCCGAAGTCATTTTTCACCGGGAAACCATTACATTGGACACTTGGACTCCATACGGACTGGGGTCACGTGGCATTAACGAAACTCGCTGGGCAGGCTATCCGGGCTCCGGGGCTCTGAGCGGGGCCTCTAACGACGAGCCTGCGATGGGTCGTTTTCATGTTGTCAAATGCGAAGTTTCCGCTCAGCGACCCTGACCAGCAGCACCAGCATGGAAACTTGTTAGAAGTGATTTGGGCCCAGTGAGTCAGTCTCTGGCGCTGGGGCGCATGGGCCTCCGTTGCCACGAGCCCTCCGGGTGGCTCGGATGCTCGCTGACGTTTGCGGGCCACCGCCTAGACTGCCACCCTTGGCGGCGAGGCTGACGCTGTTGCTCCGGGACCACGTCCTCCCCCCGTTCTCACCTGCTCGCCCACTGCGCTCCTCCGCCTGCGCACCAGGTGCTCTGGGGACTTGCCGCCGGGCACGTGCCCGTCTCTCCTCTCGCTCCCACCCGGGCACCTCCCGTGGGGATGGGCCAGTGCATGCCAGCCCCTCGGCTGCCCCTCCGTGACCTGCCTCCCGCTTTGCCCAGCTAAGTGCTGCGCATCCTCCTGGTTGGGGCTCAGACGCCACCTCCCCCCACGGAGCCTCTCTTGATCCCCAGGGTGGGGCGTCCAGCCCGTGTGCCCCCAGAACACCTGAGCGTATCCCTGCCACCGCCAGCCTTCCCTGTGTACCCCAAGTGGGAAGCTAGTCTGGGGCAAGGCTCCCCTTGGCATCCGAGTGCCTGGCACCTGATAAAATACTCACAAGGAACAGCCAAGGTCGGAGTCATCCCGCCAAAGCACTGTTACCGATTTTTCAAAAACACTGTAAGCCCTGGCCGAGTGGCTCAGTTGGTTGGAGCATCATCCGGATTCAACAAAAGGCTGCGGGCTCTATTCCCAGTCAGGGCACACACCCCGGTGGCAGGTTTGCTCCCTGCGTGGGGCATGTGCGGGAGGCAACTGATTGATGTTTCTCTCACATCAATGTTTCTCTCTCTCTCAAACAAAAAATCAATAACCATATCTTCGGGTGAGGATCAAAAACAGAATAAATAAAAGGCTCTAAAAGCTTCACGTAACCACATCCACATGCTTCATGACACCAGATTACTTTTAAACAGAGCTTTTGGTTAACCACACCCACTCCATCCAAGTCCTGGCCCACCCTCATGGGATCCAGGGTGGACTTCCCTAATCCGCAACTTCATAATCCACCGGAATGCGGTATAGCAGCCGCCCCCCCACACTTGGGGAAACGGAAGGGCAATGGCGGCAATGACCCCGTTCATCACTTGTGCCCCGCCCTCTGCAGCCTCACTGCAGGGCGGACTCCCTGAGCACCAGCCTGAGACTGTCTGCAACCCCGTTTCAGAGGCAGCTCGGCTTCCTCAGCTCTTGGGCTCTCGGGGGTACCACAGCCGAGGTGTGTGTTGGCGGGTGCCCGCTTACGCTGTAGACGGGGTTTGCAAAGGAACACCGGCTCTGCACTGCATTAGAGCCAAATTTAGGAGCGATTCTACAGCAGGGGAGCGCTCACCTTCCAAGAGCTTTTAGAAACGAGGACTTGAGAGAAGCCGGAAGCTGGGAACGACCTGTGGTCTGTTCTGTCCTGAAGCCCTGGCCCTGGGGTCCGCGAGTCCGGGAATGAGGGCTCCCAGCTTTGCTCCTGCCCCTGGCACTTGAGAATCCCCAGCCTCTCCCCCCAGAGACAGCAACTCGCTGGGTAACGCCCGTGGGGGAGGGTCCGTGCCTGTGGCTCGGGGCTGGGGCCTGGAGGTGGCATCCAAGCTTCTCATTTTGCAGAAAAGATAATCGAAACACAAAGGCAGCCAACGACTTACCCAAAATCACACACCTAGAGACGGATCGGTGCCTTGAACTAGACTGTCCCATGACATGGACACCAGTGCCCGCCTGATGTCTTCTTCCTAACAAGGGAACGTAATAAACACCCTTCCTCACGCTGGCCGTGACATTACAAGCCTCTACATTTGTCTTCCTGGCATTTGTTGAACTGTGACCTTGGACTCCTGCAAGACGCCGCCCGGGCCTGGCCGGAGCTGCTGCCGGGGCCTGGGAATCTGCACTTTCACCAGCTCCTGAGGAGGGGCTTTCTCCACCAGCCCTCGAGCTTCACAAGCGGGGGGATGTGCGGACTGGGCCTGTGAGCGTCTGAGCGTCGGTTTGTGCGGCTGCCAAGCCATGTCTTTTCTGAACTGCGTTTTCAACTTTTCCAGGAAAAGCAATTTGAGCTAAAATTGCTTTGGCTTGATCTCTGTCCAGAAGGGACCTTTTTTCCAGTAAGAGGTCTAATATAGTTTATTTTTTTTTTAAATCTGCTTTACAAATATTTCTATCTGACAGGGATAGAAACTTGACGGAGGCAGCTTCATGTTTTTAAGCAGTTAGGAATTATTTTTGGTCGTTTAACTGATGAGATCGAATTAGTTTTCGTGCTCTGTGAGTGTGAGTGCGTGTGTGTGTTGAGTGCATGTGTGTTTCCACTTATCACTGATGGGGAAAAAGTATTGTACACTTTTTGGTACTCGGCCACAATTATTATCATCCTTAATTAGAGTTAAGCAGAGTTGACAGGATCTCAAACAAAATAAGAGGAAGAAATCTAAGAAACTATGTAATTTTCAAGACTAAATTAGAGTGATTTGGAAACAAGTAAGACAGCCCTGGCTGGTGTGGCTCAGTGGATTGAGCACTGGCCTGCAAACCACAGGGTCACTGGTTCGGTTCCCAGTCAGGGCACATCCCTGGCTTGCAGGCCACGTCCCCAGTAGGGGGTGTGCGAGAGGCAGCTGCATATTGATGTTTCCTCTCTTTCTCCCTCCTTTCCCCTCTCTAAAAAAAAAAACAACAAATAAGTTTTTTTTTTAATCACTCCTAAAAAAAAAAAAAAAGGTAAGAAAACCCAGAGCCACTATCTTGCACCTCCCTCCTCAAGGCAAAGTCATGGGTGGTTAGAAAACTATTACATTCTTTTCCCCGTGGGTCCTCCTTAAAGTTTAGCAAACACGGGCCCTGCAGGGGCAGAAATCACTGATGGCCTCACCTGGCCGGGTGAACACATTCGGGTTTCTAATGAGCAATGGGGTGCCGGTATTTATTCCCACGCGTCCTGCCGCCTTCAGAGCCCCCTCCGCACACCCCTGCTTCTCCGAGACGCTCCCCCGACCGCGCTGCCCCTCCAGCTTATCCGGGCTCTCTCCTGCGGTGGTCGCATTGTCCAGGAAAAGCGTGGCACCGGGCTGATGGTCCTCGTTTCCGTGCCTGTGTTCCTCAGAAGACTGTGAACTTAACGCGTTTAACTTCCTACCTGTCGTTCCCCAGTAGCCCCTCGAACTTTGTTAAATGAATGACTATCAATCCACAACCAACTCTGCAATCTGCGTGAGTGAACGTGAGGCATTTCAACTCCT